CCCCCCCCATCCCACCCCACCCAGGACTGTGGCTTTCTAGCCACTCCCTCAGTCCCCACTCCAGGTTCCAGGCGTTGCATGAGTGCTTTGGAAAGGAGATCCGTGCACTGCAGGTGATAAGCAGAGGACTTCAGAGGGCCAATAATGGAGACAGACGATCCCAGGCAAAGGTGGAGCAGGAATTCAACCATTGTTTGTTGATGAATGACTGAGAGGTGGACCAAAGGCCAAGAGGTACCTACCTGCCAAGACCAGCGAACTGCTTCAGTAGATCCTGGCTCACTCATCACTCACTCACTCCTTCCCTCCCTCTAGTTCTTATTCTAACCCCCTTCATGGAAATAACAAGGCAGGAGACGGACCAAGGTACAATAGCAGGTTCTTTTCTGGTTCCTCAAAGCGCCACATGGGGTGGGGGCAGATACAGGAGAATGTAAACATTGGGTTCCACCCCCTGGAGCTCAAGACAAGACCCCTTTCCCAGACAGGGGCTGAAGGGTCAGAAGGGAATAACGTGAAAGGTGGGGGTTCTGGTGAGGCAAAGCAGGAGAGGCCTGAGAATAGAGGAAGGTGGGTGAATACGAAGGAGAGCAGGAGGGTGGTGGGTGAGGAAGTGGGGGACATTTCCTGTTCCAGTGCATGTCCCCTTAAATAAACTAGAGTGCAAGAACATTATGGAAGGAGAACCAAAGGGCAGAAGATAGAGCGAACACCCCCACCCTGGGCAGACCAGGTCCTTTATACATAATTACAACACAGAGATGTCCAGAAGTCAAGCAAGGAGGGTCTTTGTCCCCAGCCAGGAAGTGGGGGAGGCAGGCAGGACTGAAGAAGAGAAAAAGGAACCCAGCTCCACTTCATGGGTAAAGGGAGCAACTGGAGTTTAAGAATCTGAAAACTGCTGACTCCCATTGCCAAGAGTCACCCCTTTGGTGACAAAAGGCCAATCAGGACAGCACCTGGAAAGGGACCCCAAAGGAAAATGGGGCATGAGTGACAGAGACCCCAGTTGGACCTAACTGGAGGTGAGGGGCTCCAGACTTGTTCAATAGCTGCCTCAGGGAAACGCAGCTGCCCCATGCACTCTGACTGTCCTGGCTATGTAGGGATCAGCAGCTGGCAAGGAGATGGGGAATCAAGCCACTTTCCTCAGAAAGAGGGACAGCCTACCGAGGGGTCTGCTCTTGGCTGAGGGAGAAAGGGGGGGGCCATGCAGTCCAGCCCCAGGGCAGAGGTCAGAAGTAAGCATCCTGCCGGGTCTCAGAGGCTGAGGACCTATCCCCGCCATCCTGGGGGGCTGGGGACCCATCTGCCTTTCGACGCAGCGAAAGCTTCCTGCCTTGGGCCTTCTTCTCCTGCTTCTGCCGCTCCTTCTCCTGCTTCTGCTGTTCCTTCTCGTATTCTTTTTCCCACTTCTGCCGCTCCTTTTCCCGCTTCTCCCGCTCCTTTTCCTGTTTCTGCCGCTCCTTCTCACGTTCCTTTTCCTGTTTCTGCCGTTCCTTCTCCTGCCTCCGGGTCTCCTTGCTGGGACCCAGTGGGGTGCTGTTACCAGTAGGTGAAGGAAGGGATGGATGCAGTCCCTCAGCGGTGACCACAGGCCCTGGGGCAGGCCCAGCAATGGCCCTGTGGGAAGGAGGGGGTGGAGATGGGGCCCCTCCAGCTGCCAGGGAGCCTCGGCTCTTGAGGCTAGGGAGGCTGAGGAGGCTAGAGGAGGGGCCCAGGGGTGGCTGTTGCCTCCGGCGCTCCTCATGGATGGCCCGAGAGCCATGTAGTCGCCGTGAGGGCCGATACTGTAGCTCCCCCCGGGTTTCCCGCCACTTCTTCAGCTGGGCTGTGTTCTCTCGCTCAATCAGTGCTTCTGTCACTGGGAGGTTAGTCACCTAGATAGAAAAGAAATGGGTACCAGAATGCAGATGAGGTGGGGATGGCCTGAAGCAGGTGTGGGGTTTGTCAAGGCCAAGGCCTACCTCATGCACCAGGAAATCCTCCTGCATGCACTGTTGGGGCAGGTTGCGCAGCTGCTCCATGGTTTCATACATGCCCTGGCAGGAGCGCAGCTTCTCTACTGAACCCAGCGTGTGCCGCAGCAATACCAGGGCCACTCGGAAAATGATCTTTACACCTACAGGGTCAGAGAAAAGACAGCACCAGTGATAATGCCTGGGATCTCAGCCTGTCTCATTTAGGAGGGACTCAGAGCTCCCATCCCTATCTACTGCCAACCTTACAGATGAGGAAACTTAGGCCTCAAGAAGGGAAATGAGCTGCCATGGGTTTCAGGTTCCTGGGAGAGAGAGCAGGCTCTGGGTTGGTGGCAGAGCCAAGACCAGGCCTCAGTTTCCAGCCCCCAGACCCAACAAGCACCTTTCAGTGGCAGGGACCATGAAAATCCCAGCCCCTTCATGGCCTGAAAGTCTACAAATGTACCTTCACAGAAGAACATATCCCAGACACGCAGCACTGAAGCCCAGGGCAGAGTGCGGGCAAAGATGCACATGAACCATTCTGTCATGTAGAGCACAGGGTCAATGCGCTGCCGCCGCAGGTGCCG